CAGGTAGGTGGGTTGGGAGGGGGGGGGGCAGAAGTTATTAAGTTTCTGATTGCCATGGAAGGAACGCAATTACAGACATTATATAGTGCATTTTATTTTCATTTTTTTTAATCATTTGGTGGATTTGGTGAGATTATTTTTAGTGGGTTTTAAGGAATGCAATTATAGGTCAAGATAATTATTTGTGATTATCTTCTCAGACTTTTCGAAAAAAAAAAAATTACAGGTCAAGATGATGCAAATTCAACCCAGTCCGTGGACCAAGAATGCAAATCCATATGAGATAAATTACTTTTTAAGTTTTTAGATTTGCAGGTGGGAAGAGGAAGGATATGTGGCTGAGGGGACCAACGCCAGAGACTCAAATTCACTCTGACGAGGGCAAGTGTTTTATCTCTTAGTTATGTTATAAAGGCTAATTTTGTCCTTTTAAAAAATTTTGACCCCTCACGTGACTTAAGTGCTCTCATTTCTATTAAATTTATAACGGTGAACAACAAGTGATATAATTTAGGGGGTTAAATGTTTTTGTCATAGTTCAAGGGGATTTTATGGGAAAGAAAAGAAAATTCGCGAACGGGGGAGGGGGGTGTTAATGCACTTTTCCCTATATAATACAATATATACTGGTTTATATACATACATACATACATATATAGGAAAAAATAAATACTATATATATATATATATATACATTCCCAATTTTCAAACAAAAAAAACCTTTATTACTACCTGCCACATCATTAAAACTGTGGATGTGAATGTAATTTCAACACCCCGTATTTTCCCAATTTTCGGACAAAACCTTTATTACAACCTGGGACATCATTAAAACTGTGGATGTATATGTAATTTCAACACCCTGTCACCTAATTTTCTTTCTCCCTCTGTACTGTATTGCCCGACCTCGCCACTGCTAAACCAGCGGTCTCAGCCGCCTTGGCAATCATAGTTTTGAATCCCCACCGGCGGTTGGTGATGGTCAGGTGGTCGCCGGAATTCTCTCTCGTTGTCGTCGATGAGGGAGTCGTAACAGAGACCCAAAAAAATGGAGGCCAATCAAATCCGAATGCACGGATCTACAGGAACAGAGCCCCGCAATGAGCGAAGCAACGATTGCCGTTGAAGATGACTTTGGGGACACCGATGGCGTCGATGACATCGGGGACCCATCAGTGGAACGTGTCGGTGACGAGGCTTCAAGATGATTGCAAGAGATCCGATCGTCTGTTAATGGTCCCGGCTGAGTCGACTCATGCACTCCTCGCTCTCTATCCAACTCAGTACCCACAACTCGTTCCAAGATGATGGCGAAGCTGTAAGGGTTTAAAGAGAAAGGGTTTTGGTGGGGGTTTGCAGAGATGGTGGATTTGAAGATTATTATTAATTTTTTTTTTTTGGGGGGGTGGGGGTGTTTTGAGGGGCAATTGTGTCCTTTTAACTTGGGGGGTTTTTTGAGGGGCAATTATGTCCTTTTAACTTGGCTGATATTTTACAATAAATCTGATTTTAATATTAAAGGGTAATTTTGTCCTTTCAAATGATTTAAGATCTTGTTTGGTTGAAATTTTAGAAAGGGGGTGTCATTATCCAAAAAAACAAATATTTTGACAATGTTTGCACTTTACCCAAAATTCAAATATGCCATGAACAGGGTGAAGCTAGGAATTTGATTAGGGGGGACAGAGAGAGGAGGAGGAGGAGGAGGAGGAGGAGGAGGAGGAGAGAGATGAGATGAATTTGGGTTTTTTCAGGGGCAATTGTGTCCTTTTAATATGTCTGATATTTTACAATAAATCTGATTTTAATATTAATGGGTAATTTTTTCTTTTCAGATAATTTAAGGCTTTGTTTGATTGGAATTTCAGAAAGAGGGTGTCATTATCTAAAAAATGAGTATTTTGACAAATCTCAAGAGGTGTTTGTACCTTACCCAAAATTCAAATATGACATGAACAAGGCGGAGCTAGGAATTTGATTAGGAGGACATATTATACATGAATGATTATTTTTGTCCCCCAAACTAAGGCAATATACACGAATGCATGCAGGATAAAAAAAAATGAAGATTTGATTGAAGAAAGAGTGTAATTTTTATTTTTTTATTTTTTTATTTTTGTAACGATTAAGAAAAAAAATGAAGAAGAAAAAGTAGAGTAACTATGAAAAGAAGTAAGAAAATAGAGAGAGCTATTTTGGAAAAATATAATTTTAGAGAGGCATTACGTAAAAGTTATATACATCATATAAACATGCAGTAGTCAAATTTTTAATGTGCCAGCGGGGGCTCAGGCTCTAAGAAAAATCCTAGCAATAAGACATTGAGACAGACTAACAGAAATAAAAAGAAGAAAAAGTGAGAAGTTACTTTTAATAAAGTAGCAATAAATAAACAAGTTGGAGCCAGGAATGAAAACAACATACGCGAAGCTAATGGTACATATCTAAAAGCTGGTATTATTGCCTAAGTGCATGCTTAACTCTGAACTACCGAAACATATGTAGTAGAAGTAATTGTCCCAAAACCACTTTAAATTTGATAATTATCCATCCAAAAATCCTGGGAACAAAGAAAAAAGAGAAAGAGGTTGCCTGACCTACTCAAAAGGCAAATGACCAATTAATAAAAGTGGTTTCATTTGGAAAAAAGTAAATCGACTGGTGTATATCATGCATGAGTCACTGGCTTGGACTTGACTTCAAGTGCTGTCCCAAGCCAAGATAGAAATTATTCCCTTATCGAATGGAAAAATATATTACCGTAAAATCATGCTAGCTTTTTCGTCTATATAAAAACAAATTGTGGTCGGTTAGGGGTGCGTGTTACCTTGTACTGATTAGGGGACATTTGTTTGATTGTCATACTTAAATTCAAATATGCTGACCCAGAGGAACTATTAGAATGTTGATAAAGTTTCTCTAACAAAAATGGTAACAAGACATTAATTTATACTGAAGTACAACAAAAATGAAATGAAAAGAAGAGAAAGTGGGAAGTTGCTTTTATTAAAGTCGGAATAACAAAATAGATTGGGTCAGGAACGAACGAGAATCATTCATGTAATATTCAAAGCACATGATTCAATTACAAAAGGATACTACCCAAGTGTACATGATTGTTGAAAGAAATAGAGTGGTGAATTATACGTGTTGGATGAGTAAGTAATAATTAAAACGGTGGTTACAATATTATTTGTGAAGAAAAGGTACTGGAGGTGTTCATTAGCATTCCTGGTGGTAATACTGGGTTTTGACACAAAATATTAATAATCTTAGCGTGTTTATCCGAAAGTACTTTAAGAAAAATTATAATCATGTGGATATTGTATTAAACATGATACTCATGTTAAGACACGATTTATTATCAACCACTGATTCATATATACTTTTTAGTAATTTTTGTCGCCCAGGATTGTAGTCAAGAAATTATTGCTAAAAGCATTTTCATTTGAGAAACACACACAAATGATATATGTAGTTAATATCAGCCAGTGCTCAGCTCTAAACCACAAAACATAAATTAATATATAAACTTCTTAAATTATCGTCCAAAACAACTTTAAGTTTGACAATTATCCATACACAACTCTGGGGAACAAAGAAAAAAACGTGAAAAGAGTGACTGACCCACCCAAAAGGATGATTAATAAATAAAGTGGTTTCATGTGGAAAATAGAACTAAATCGACAGGTGTGTATCACGAGTGGACTGACTTGGACTTCACTTCATGCACTATCCCAAGCCCAAGAGAGAAATTTTACCCTCACCAAACAGAACTAAGGAAAAATTACTACTAATTAAATCATAATTTTTTCCTATAAAACAAAGTTCATGATTAAGTTGTGGTTGTTGTTAGTAATATATTGTAGATGCATTACTAGTAACCTTAAACAGATAGCATACTAACTGGTGAAGTAAAATAAAGAGCCTGTGAGGGTACCCAGAAATTGGCTGTTCAAACCCGTTCCAACTTCATGAACAATCGGACTGGAAATGCTCAATGACCTATACTTCTGCCGTCAGACTGGATTTTTCAAGGATTCACCCGATTAAAACGGGTTGGATCCATCTCTAAACTTTTTAATATTATTTTTAATTTGGGACAGATATTGGTGTTTTAGTGGTCCACGTCAGCAGAACAAATTTTGTCCTGATAAGACACGACCCAACCATTGCTCTATTATTTAACTAGGCCTACTTACTTTATAAAGTAGAGTCACGTTTCCATGTCTCCATGTGGTCATAGTTTTAAAAGCAGTGTCACGTTACCATGTCTCCATGTGGTCCTAGTTTTTATCATAAATGGCCAACTATATATATATATATATATATATGCGTATCCTTTTGTCAAACCACAGGGGTGTTGTTGTACTTTATCCTATTTATTTAAAAGGGGAGTAAATCAACCGTTGTGTATGACGAGGACTGATTTGGACTTGAAATTAACTTTCATATGTTTGGATGTAAAATATTTTTAAATAAATATATTTTTTATTTTATTGTGTTTGGTTGTCATAAAATATTTACGAAGAAATAAAATACTAAAATTTAACAAAAATAACTTACGTATCAATTTTCGACAAGTTATTTTACAGGTCTCATATGATGAACTTGTTCTTAACCTCGACCTAGATATTTACCAAACACCAAAAAAATAAAAATAAAAAAAATATTTTACCAAAAAATGAGAAATATTTTTGAAAAAAAATATTTTACGTCCAAACAAATAAAGCCTAAATCATACGTATCTCTTTGAAAACAATAATATATCGATTAAGTTGTAAAATCATAATAATATGTAGTGAATGTGCATGATTGGGATATGAAATATTTGACACTAGATAAAAAAGAGAAAGTGGGAAGTTACTTTGAATAAAGTAGCAATAACTAAAAAAGTTGGAGCAAAGAATGAGAAGCATCCAATTATAAAAGGATACTACTCTGTAAATGCTGGCATTGATAGAGAGTAGTGGAATTGGGTTGGATCAGTAGCTAGTAAAATGGTGGTTACATTATTTGTGAGGAAAGGATGGTGGTGTTCATTAGCATTCCTTTTGGTAATGCTGTGCACAATTGTATGTGGAGATATATCTCTCTCTATCTCACATAAGGATAGCATTAATGTCATCTTCAACTCACACTACTCCTGCAATGGTACCATTGGAGAATGCCGCGTGGACGAAGAGCTGGTGTTTCCCATGGATCCTGAAATAACTAGAAGGCTACTCCAGGGGAATGGAGAATCAGTGGCTGAAGGGACCCTTAATGCACAACAATCAGTCGGCGCAGGGTGTGATAGAGGATACGGAAGTTGCCTTCCTGGTGAAAATGGACAAGTCAACCGTGGGTGCAATCCTTTTCACGGTTGTCGCTTAGGCTCCTGATGCAGTCATGACGTGGTGGCATGCATTAATTATTATTATTATTATTATTATTATTATTTTCTCGATAAGTTTGGTGATGATGCAGTTACACTATAACAAGAAGCAAGAGAATATGGGAGTATCAAATGGCAAATTCTTTCTTAATTTGTTTCGTTTAAACCACGTATCATGTAGTGTTTATTTAAATAATAGAATCATTCTGCCGCTGATTCAACTGATGCTTGTTCATGTTTTTTTTTTTTTTTTCCTGGTAAATATGGTCTGAAGGTGTGGGTTTGTGAATTGTGGCACATGGTTTAATTGATAAGAATAAGATGGTTGGTCATGTTTCAATCAAACATTATTATTGATTTTGGACGCATTTCACCATTTTCCTAATTATACAACAAATAATGTTGCAAGGATTTTTTTTTAAAGTATTAGAACTTATATGGGTTCTGAGTAATCTTAATAATTTAAAATTTTAATTATGTCTCTTGTTGTGTTGTGTCAGGTTTTGACTCATTATTAAACATGTTACAATATTCATGTTGAGTTACTTATTTAATAATTGAGTTGCGTTCATAACAAAAAAAATTTGACACCAATAGTAATCGTGTCGTGTTCATGTCAAGTTTTTTTGACAAAAATTATAATCGTGCCTATCTAAAAGTCTTATGACATCGTACAGGTATAAAGTGTTGTATTTAACTTAATTGGGCAATAACAAAGCATCCATGACCTTAAGCGATTAAGAAATCTTTATGACAAATCTTGACGCGACGTGAACATGAAATGTTATTAGGAAAGTGATTTTGAATTTGACTAAATTGGGTTCAGATTATAATTGTATGATTCTAAAGTGACAAGCTAATTAATACTCTCTATGATTTATAAATATCATGTTCGACTTTGACCCACCAACTTTTTATAACTTAAATAAATCATTTTTAATTAAGGCTTCGTTTGTCTGGATGTAAAATATATTTTTATTTTTTGGTATTTAGTTGTCGTAAAATATTTACGAAAAAAAATATATATTAAAATTTAACAAAAATAACTTATTCATAAATTTTCGACAAGCTATTTTACACGCCCCACTTGATAGATTCGACCTCAACCTCAACGTAAATTTTTACAGAACAATGAAAAAGTAAAAATAAAAAAATATTTTATTTGAAAAAAAAAATATTTTACGTCGAAATAAACTGAGTCTAAATATGTATGTAAGATTGTGATGCTAAAACATTTTCCTTTGACTGAACTAATTAAACTCAAATTGTATATGTCCTTTATTTCATCCACTGCTAACCTCTAAAATACCAAAACATATAGAATTGTCCAAAACAACGTTTAAGTTTTAAAAAAAATATTTTACGAAAGATTGTGATGCTAAAACATTTTCCTTTGACAGAACTAATTAAGCTCAAATTGTATATGTCCTTTATTTCATCCACTGCTCACCTCTAAAATACCAAAACATATAGAATTGTCCAAAACAACTTTTAAGTTTAGTAATTATCCATCCAAAGCTCAGGGGAATAAAGGAAAAAGTGAAAGAGGCCCCGAAATAAAGAAAAAAAGTGAAAAGAGGGTGCCTGACCTACTCAGAAGGCAAATGATTAATTAATAAAGTAGTTTCATTTGGAAATAAAAAATAAAAGTAAACCGACTGGTGTGTATCATGAGTCTCACTGACTTGCACTTGACTTCAGGTAATGTCAATTAAATTGAAGTGTTCACCTAATTTATTTCAAATGCTACTCTCCTCAAATGGTAAGTATAAGACACCAAGTCACCAAGCCTATGATTAAAATGCTATCTTTCTCTGGTGAAAACAAAAATGTTCTGATGACAAATCATAACATAACCCTGAGGATTTGTTGGTCAATCTTTAAGTCACAGTTCATAGATCCAAACAAATTAAGTAGCTTTTTTTCTTTTTAGTAATTTTTGTCGCCCGGGATTGTAGTCATGAAATTATTGCTAAAAGCATTTTCATTTGAGAAACACACACAAAGAAACACACACAAATGATATATGTAGTTAATATCAGCCAGTGCTCAGCTCTAAACCACAGAACATAAATTAATATATAAACTTCTTAAATTATTGTCCAAAACAACTTTAAGTTTGACAATTATCCATACACAACTCTGGGGAACAAAGAAAAAAAGTGAAAAGAGTGACTGACCCACCCAAAAGGATGATTAATAAATAAAGTGGTTTCATGTGGAAAATAGAACTAAATCGACAGGTGTGTATCACGAGTGGACTGACTTGGACTTCACTTCATGCACTATCCCAAGCCCAAGAGAGAAATTTTACCCTCACCAAACAGAACTAAGGAAAAATTACTACTAATTAAATCATAATTTTTTCCTATAAAACAAAGTTCATGATTAAGTTGTGGTTGTTGTTAGTAATATATTGTAGATGCATTACTAGTAACCTTAAACAGATAGCATACTAACCGGTGAAGTAAAATAAAGAGCCTGTGAGGGTACCCAGAAATTGGCTGTTCAAACCCGTTCCAACTTCATGAACAATCGGACTGGAAATGCTCAATGACCTATACTTCTGCCGTCAGACTGGATTTTTCAAGGATTCACCCGATTAAAACGGGTTGGATCCATCTCTAAACTTTTTAATATTATTTTTAATTTGGGACAGATATTGGTGTTTTAGTGGTCCACGTCAGCAGGACAAATTTTGTCCTGATAAGACACGACCCAACCATTGCTCTATTATTTAACTAGGCCTACTTGCTTTATAAAGTAGAGTCACGTTTCCATGTCTCCATGTGGTCCTAGTTTTAATAGTCGTGTCACCTTACCATGTCTCCATGTGGTCCTAGTTTTTATAATGAATGGCCAACTAGATATATATATATATAATAAGGTTTAAGTATAATAACACCTCTATCGGTGCTTGTCAAAAAGATACCCAGACGAAAGTCATATGTTTTTGGAACAATGACACTTTGAAGAAATTTCATCCAAACAAGGTCTTATATCATATGAGAAGATAAATTTGTCACTTAACATTAAATTCAGATTTATTACAAAATATCATACCTGTCAAAATGACGCAATTGTCCTTGAAAGTTTATGGCCATAAATTAACGCCACTTAGCGCCAGATTAACAACCCGTGAATTGCCCATAATGAAATTAATTTTTTTATTTTTTTTAACAAATGGGGGGTTATCAATTTTGTTATTACCATAACTAAAATAGCGAATCCAATGTGGACTACACAGCGAAATAACACCCAATAGCATCAATTAGCTTTTGAAAGACATCATTCAGAGGTTGGATACCCATCCATAATCTCTCACAATTATTTTAAGGCAAAATTGAACAACATTGACAGATATAAGTAACACCTATAGACACCCTTTTAGATTGGTCAAACTTTCTTCTTTTTGTAAGAAATTGAAAATTTATTACAGCAAAAGAAATATGCAATGTTGTTATTTTGAGAAATTGTGACAGAATGAAAACAAATGGTTTTTTTTTTTTTACTAAAAATTTTGTTATTAATTCACACATTGGTAATTTCGTCCAATTTATTAATCTGTTTATATATATATATATATATATATATATATATATATATAGAGAGAGAGAGAGAGAGAGAGAGAGAGAGAGAGAGAGTCTATATTCTTCATTAGGGGTAGTTTATATTCCTAGCACTATGACTGTTTGTTCCTAAGGGGTAGTTTCATCCAATTTATTAACTTGAAAAGTTAAAAAGGTTAACTAAATGGTCAAATGGCAATATGGTCAAATTTTCATGCCAGTTGGTTTCAAGGGGTGCCCTTTGTCCACTTTTCAATCTTCAAGGGTTGTCATTGTCCCAAAAACAGGTAACTTTCATATGCGTATCCTTTTAGCAAACCACAAGGGGTGTTGCTGTACTTTATCCTATTTTTTTTAAAAGGGGAGTAAATCAACCGTTGCGTATGACGAGGACTGATTTGGACTTGAAATTAATTACACCCTTACCAAATAGAAATGATGACAAATTACAACTAGGCTCCGTTTGTTTGGATGTAAAATATTTTTAAATAAATATATTTTTTATTTTATTATGTTTGGTTGTCATAAAATATTTACGAAGAAATAAAATACTAAAATTTAACAAAAATAACTTACGTATCAATTTTTGACAAGTTATTTTACATGTCCCATCCGATGAACTTGTTCTTAACCTTGACCTAGATATTTACCAAACACCAAAAATGTAAAAATAAAAAAAAATATTTTACCAAAATAAGAGAAATATTTTTCAAAAAAAATATTTTACGTCCAAACAAACAAAGCCTAAATTATACACGATTGGGATATGAAATATTTGACACTAGATTAAAAAGAGAAAGTGGGAAGTTACTTTGAATAAAGTAGCAATAACTAAAAAAGTAGGAGCAAAGAATGAGAAGCATTCAATTATAAAAGGATACTACTCTGTAAATGCTGGCATTGATAGAGAGTAGTGGAATTGGGTTGGATCAGTAGCTAGTAAAATGGTGGTTACATTATTTGTGAGGAAAGGATGGTGGTGTTCATTAGCATTCCTTTTGGTAATGCTGTGCACAATTGTATGTGGAGATATATCTCTCTCTATCTCACATAAGGAGAGCATTAATGTCATCTTCAACTCACACTACTCCTGCAATGGTACCATTGGCCAATGCCGCGTGGACGAAGAGCTGGTGCTTCCCATGGATCCTGAAATAACTAGAAGGCTACTCCAGGGGAATGGAGGATCAGTGACTGGCGCGGCCCTTGAAGCACAACAAACAGCAGGCGGCGCAAAGTGCGACAGAGACAAATACGGAAAATGCCTTCCCGGTAAAAATGGAAAACCCGGACGTGGGTGCAAAATTTTTGATAAGTGTCGCCTGGGCCAAGACAAAAATTAAATTTCTTGATGTAGTCATGACGTTGTGTCATGCCCTAAGTTTTTTTTTTTTTTCGTAAAGTTTGGTGGCGGTGCAGTTACACTATAACAAGAAGC